TAAATTGTTAAGTGAATTAGGGTTAGGTTAGGGATTCCGCGGCGGGAAACCCTAAAATGAGTGCGGCGACTCTTTGACCTAAAGCTAGGGGTAGTTTTGTAATTTTGTCCACGGCGAGACATTTGTGAAAAGTTAGGGTTTGTAAGGGTTTGAAGTTTTGAGGACTATTGGCGTGGCGGCCAAACGGCTAGACCTAATCCTTCGGAGGAATGCAATGGGACAAATTAACGATGCAAATGCGCGAATTTAAACCATACAAACAGCATAAATTAAAGTGCGGAAAGGTAAACGCAATAATTTGTTCGCGAAGTTACAAATGAGAAACATATACAATTATAATACAACTTGAATTGAAAAACACATTAAAATAGCTAATAGCAACGTAACAAGCTGCACATTGAATACACCACGTTAGTAGACAGAGTCAGACAGTAATCAGACGAGTTATGAAACGGAAGTGCGAAAGTTATAGATATTCTTTGTTGTTTATTTGTGATATATAAAAGCTTTTGATTTAAGTTAAAAAAGAGGTTTTAATATTATTAAAAAAAACTTTTCAAAAATAGTCTTAATTTAATTATCTAACAAAAAGGTTTTATTTTTTTCAAAAAAGGTTTAATGTTATTATTATATATTTTTTAAAAAACGGTTCTAGTTATTATTTTTAAAAAAAGATTTTAGTTATTATTTTAAATTTATCTAAAAAAAAGTTTTTCTTAAAAATAATAGGTTTTCATATTAATTTGGAAAAGATGTTAATGTTATTTATTTTAAAAAACAGATTTTTATATTATAACAAGTTTTAATAAATTAATGATAATGATAATAATAATAATAGTAATAATAATAATAATAATGATAATAATAATAAATAATGATAATAATAATACTAATAATAATAATAATAATAATAATAATAATAATAAAGCAATAATGAATTTTAAATGTGCCAAATAACCCAACAATGTTGCTAACGCAGAAATGCGCTCATCGCAACCAGATCTAAATCGGACGAAACAAAATTTATCGCAAAAAAAAAGAAATTAAGCAAAAAACAGTATTATTGCTCACACAAAAATGCGATCATCGCAACCAGATCGAACTAACACAAATGTCACGCGTCATGCACACAAATGTGCAAACATCGTATCGATATAATTCGATCAAAAATTAATCTTATATATATATAAACTCTAACAATTTAAAAATTATAAATATATAAATGTAACAGTAATAGATAAAGAAAAAGAAATAACGGTAATAGATGAAGAAAAAAAAATAACGGTAAAAGATGAAGAAAAAGAAACAACAGTAATAGATGAAGGAAAAGAAATAACGGTAAACGATGAAGAAAAAGAAACAACGGTAATAGATGAAGGAAAAGAAATAACGGTAAACGACACTCACTCCTCTTAGGTTTTTTTCATTCTCCCCCTTTTTCAACAAGGCAACACATGTATATAGGGAACAAATTAGGGTTAACACCAAATTGTCAATAATGTCCCTAAAGCCCAAACTAAATAATTAGTTAAGAAAAAAATAAAATTTAAATAATTTAAAATAAACTTAAAATAAAAACTAATAATCCTATTGATTCCTAAAATCAAAAAATATTATAAAAAGAACAAAATTTTTTCTAATATTTTTTATTTTATGATTTTTTGGATATTTTTATGAATAATTTAGAAAAAAGTGAAAAAAATAATATTTTAAAAAATGATTTAATTAAAATACGAAAATAATAATTAAATAATAATAAAAAACTATTTTTGTTATTTTTTAATGAAAGATAGAAACATTTAGAGTAAAAATAATAAAAAAGCAAAAAGTGACAAAGGTGAGATTTGAACTCTCAACCTCTCACACTCACAACTCCTTACACATGTCCTCTTGCCAATTGTGCCATTTTTACTTTTTTAGAAAAAAAATGCATGTCATATGATATTTACCTGCAAAAAGTCAAACGACTACACAAATTTGTTAGTAATTGATTAAATGCAATGAAATGCGACGACAAATCTTAGGGCAAAATTTGGGGTATTACACCTGTCATATGACTGCTATAACATGTACCAAGGTAGCACACATTTTCTTCATTTGAAGCCACATTTGTTGCAACCATCAAGATAACATCTTCAGATTCACTGCTACCAACATGAGAAAATTGAGCCACACCCTTGTCATTATCATTGTTCTTATTGTAGTATCAATTTCTAGTATAACGACTAAGCTTCTTACAACAATAGCATTAAACATCTTTCATGCCAACCTTCTTTTTGACTTTTTGATTTTGATTTGCATTATTCTTGCTAGTTTTACCTTGGCTTCTTGAAGCCTTACCAGAATCACCATTATCATTCAAATTTTCTTCCATTTTTCTTTCACTTTGTTATTGCTTGAGGATTTTTCTTTCATCTTCTTGAAGAACTTTGCTTGCATTTCATGTTCAAATACCTTTTCAGAATCTCTTTGCTTCAGCCTCATCTCATGCGCCTCAAGAAATGCTTGCAATTCTTCAAACTTCATTTCTGACAAGTCTTTAAATTCTTTAATTGCCACCACAATGTGATCAAACTTGACTGGAAGAGCCCTCAACACCTTCTCCACCTTCTACAATTTAGAGGTCTTTTCTCCATATGACATCATATGATTTGTCAAAGCCATCTTCTTTGAGAAGAACTCATCAATGGTTTCATCATCTTTCATTTGCAAGATTTCGTATTGCTTCCTTACATATTGCAACTTCACTTTTTTAACTTCTAATTTCCACCATACAACTTCTTGAGAGTATCCCAAGCCTCTTTGGCCATTTCTTTCTCGATAATTTTCTCAAAGATATTTGAATCCACAAGCTGATAGATTAAGAACAAATGTTTCCCATATTTCTTGCCCAATTAACGGTGAACAACCCTTTATGCCTCAATAGAATTTTCCTATAATGCTGAGATTTTCCTATAATGCTGAGAAACAATCATTCGCGTTTTCAAACACATCATGAAATTTGAATGACTTTCATTTGTGCATACCATCTATCATATTTTTCTCCCTTGAAAATTGACAGTATGGATAGAAATTGCTTGGAGGTAGTGCTTCGATTTTCCATGGTTAGAGATTGAACACTGAATTAGTGCTCTTGATATCAATTTGTTGGGGAACCAATATCACATCTTACTTGATAAATGATGATAAACTGAGAGAAAATTAGAGAGTGTTTGAGGAAAAAGAGATTTTTGATTATTGTGGATTTTGTGTATGTTTCGATTACAACGAGGGATGATATTTATAGACACATGAACACTAGTCACTCAAATCAAAATTAAAACAAACTATCTAAAACAAAACTGATATACCTGCCCGGGTATAGGATATACCCCTAAATATATTCTTAAAATAATCTGTCTAACTAAAACTAATATACCCCCCGAATCTATGGTATAGCCTCATAATATATTCTTAAAGCAAACTGAATTAACCACACTACATAAAAGTCTTCTGATCTATCGTCAAATATATCTCTGAATACATTTGAATCTTTTGATATTGATCTCATTTTATCATTAGTTTATTTAGATTTATCTAAGAGACCTTTGATCCATTTAGACCCATTGAGGATATTAGATTTTAAATTTCATATTATTATTTTTACTTCTCTTATTTTATTTATTTTCGTTAGATGGTTAATTCTAATTAGCGGTAATGGTAGAATCTACCATCAAAAATATTTTTATTTAAAATTTAAAAAATATTTTTTTTATTATTGTACCATTTAAATAAGATATATAATTTTGACTAAACAATTTAAAAAAAAAACTTTGACTAAACAATAAAATATTTTTTAAAATATTTTTTTAGTATTAAAGGTATATTTTATTGAAAAAGTTAAGTATCCTTCAAAATAGATAAAGAAGAACAAATTTCCAAAAAAAAAAGAAGTAAAAAGCAAAAAAATTATAAGAAAAAGGATAGAAAGTTATTAAATACAGAGTTATTATTTTTAAATCATAAAACTTAATGTTTGCAATTATTTTAATATTATAAATTTCAACACTTTTTAAATATTTCTATAATATCCCTAAAAGTGGAAAATATTTTTTTAAGGATTTGTTGAATAATCAATATATCTAATAATAAAAAAACTCATATTTTTGTTGTTTAGAGTTATAAATAATTTATATAAAAATTTAAACTTATTAATTATTCAATAAATTAAAAAAATAATTTTTTCTTATAATAGAGGTAAGAGAATATTATTTTATAAAAATATTAGTATTAAATATAAATATAGTAATTCTTAAAATATTTTTTTAATTAATTCAAAATTTAATATTTTAAAATTTTTATATTTATTTCTCAGACACAAATATGTATATATATATATATATATATATATATATATATATATATATATATATATATATATATATATATATATATATATATATATATATATATATATATATATATATATATATATATATATGTATATATATATATATATATATCTATATATATATATATATATATATATATATATATATATATATATATATATATATATACACATATATATATATATATAATCATTTTATTATTTAATATTATTTTCTTGAAAAACATTTTATTTCAGACAATATTTTCTCGTTAATACTCTTCATATCTAAAAAAAATGTTAATCTTATCTTAACTCACAACTCAAATGCGTATTCTAATGTTAAAAACTTTTTATCTAGTTGTCACATACACACTAGATTACATCAATATTAACTCAAATCTTTGCTCTTACACAATCAACACACCAATATAAGACAATAAGTATTGACGATTCATATTTACTTTTCCCTTTATTCAGGTCTTTTTCACATGTTTGAATCTCAAGTTTTTTCTACAACACATCTCCGCCACAATCACTTTTACATCACTCAACAGCATAATAAATATCCTCAAACCTTGCTAGCTATCTTTATTCACTACTAGAAATTTAATCTCCTATTCTTTCCAACATGGATCCTTCAACTTCATATCTCATGCCTAACTATTCAACATTAGATAATACCATGAACTCAAATTCATCAATGAATCAACCTCATCAAAATTATTTTGTTCCATTAGGGCAAAGTCTCAATCCTTCCATAATTCCAAATACCCCTCCATTTCATGCTCAAAAAGAAGATGATCAAAAACAGATGGAAGCAAGGAGGTGCAAAATTGCACGACAACAAAGGCGACAAATCTTACAAAGGCTTAGAAGTACTCGTGCTTCTAAGACCTCTGAAGATACAATAAAGAGGCCTCCAATTTATAGAGAGATCCAAAAACGAATTCCACATGTTTTTTTCACTTTAGATGGAAAGGTGATTGTAATATTTAACTAATTTTCTTACATTATACATTATATTTATGTGAATTTTAATACTTTCTTGATCTCTGATATTTTTTTAATTTTATTTATGAAAATAGCGATTTGAAGAAATTTTAACAAAGAAGTTAAGAAATAGCGATGTTAACAAGCTAGGCCGCATTGTCCTGCCAAAGGTAAGGGTTTCTTTATCAAAGTTCATGTTTGAATTGATCTTAACCGGATCATTTTATATATGTCCTCTTTATCTGTATGTTGTTACGAATTAAAAGTTGATAGATTAAAGTTTAGTGTAACTCATCCCTATAAAACAAACTTGTAATGTGAGGAGTGCCACTATCTATAAATTTTTTGTAGGCTCTATATTTAACCAATGTGAAATTTGGGTTTTTTCCTAATACACCCCTCATGCCTAGCACCATTAGGTATGGTGCATGGATATAAATGGTGGGTGGTCGAAATTATTGATATGTGAAATTTGGTTTTTCTAATAGATCCCATTGCACCCAACAACTTTTTTGGACTTGGTGCAAATATATGAATGTGGGTGGCATAAATCTATAAGCTCATGCCTAAAATATGGTTTAAACATAACTCAATTCTACAAAACCAGTTTGTAGGGTGAGTGATGTCACTTTATATAAACTCTTTGTGTGTTCTATCTTTAACTAGTGTGAGTGATGCCACTTTATATCAACTCTTTGTGTGTTCTATCTTTAACTAGTGTGAGACTTGGGTATTTTCCCAATACAAGTGATTTTCACATGTGATTTACACAATTTAATATAACTAATTTTTTTAATCACAAAATATAGTAAAGTGAACAAACAAATCAGGTTTTTTTATTTACCATTTTTGAGTCATAATCATATTTTTGCTATTGTTTTGTAAAACAATAAAACAAAAAATATTTTTCATCGTAAATTGTTTTCATATTTACTCATGATTCAAATGTTTTTACATTTTCATATTGATGGAATAGTTCACTAGCATGCTTTTAAAGTGTATACGTTTATCTTTGTAATGATTTTTTGTTTGCTTTTTCATGTTTCAAGATTGTCGGGGATGGTGTGAGAACTAGGTTCTGACGTAATGTTTGGGTGGAGCATAATTTGTTGTGTGTCTCTTTCAAGAGTCTATTTCTCATTTTAGAACAAAAAAAAACTTTTGTGATGGAGTTAATAGAGATTTGAAAGGAGAATGAGTAAGTTTGAGATTTTAGGTGGAGGATCTTTCTTCTGGTCTTAAAAGAGAGCTTATGGTGGAGTTACTTAGTTCTATTGTTGGTGTGGTTAAGTATGGCCAGGTGGATATCTTATCGTGGTTGTTTCATCCCACGAGAGGTTTTTCCTATGAGATATACTTATAGTAGGCTTTTATCCTTGTTGGTTTGTCCTAAAACTAAGCCAACTTAGGCGATTTGGGATTTGGCTAGAGTTTAAAAGAGTTGAGCGTCTTTAAAAGTGGTGATTTTTTCTTACTAGTTGCTTTAAGATAAACTGTCGACTAGGAATAATCATTTTAGATGTTGAATTGCGTCAATAGATAGCAGAATGGGATGTGCGGTGTGTTTAGGGCAGGCCGAGTCAGTGGATCACTTATTTGTCAAGTATTAGGTTTCTTCGCTGATTTGATATAAGGTGCTTAGGTAGGTGGGAATGTCTTTACCTCTCCCATACTCAATTTTAGGGGTTCTCAAGGTTATTCAAGGATTTGGTCATGATAAGAAGAGTCTCTTAAGTTTATTTTTGATATGACATTCAGTGGTCTAAATTATTCAAAAGTTGCATGATAAAAACATATTTTTGTCAGGAAAGTTTGTTTGTCGATCACTGGTGACTTCGATAATTGACTTGACATGAAAGTGAGTCAAATCTCATGCTTTACCTTTTGACTTTTCCTTGCTTGACATGGAGTGCGACCCATTCAGATGCCTATGCTTTTACAGGTGCCAGTTGCTCTGCTCTGATTTTTTTGCATATGGTCTACCTCCCCTCAACTTTCTCTTTCTAGTGGCGTGTTGCATTTTTTCCTAACTAGGCTTGTTCTCTTTTGTGTGTTGGCGTTGCCTTTTTTCTCCTTCAACATTTGTTTAACGAGTTTTTGTTTGTTGTTTTTTAGCTCTGTTCGTTCTTTATGTCGTATTTTGTACCCTTATTCTTTATATATATATATATATATATATATATATATATATATATATATATATATATATATATATATATATATATATATATATATATATTATAAAAAATAATAATTCACCCTAATTATGTTTTGGATTACAAATTATAAATTTCTCCCCATAATCCAAATAGAGGGAGGTCGAGGAAAAGCTTCCGACGCCAAGCAAAGAAGGGATCAAAGTTGTTTTAAAGGATATACATTCTGGGCTTGAATGGAAAGTGAAATTCAAGTAAGTAAACAAGATAGACTATTTTATACTTTGTACATTTTTCTTTATTAGATATTTATTTTTGGTCATTTTCCAAACTCTAATGGGTATATGCTAGAAATTCCACAGATACTGGATCAATGTTAAAGCTAGAATGTATGTTCTCGAGAATACAGGTAGAGTACCACTTAATATTACAAATTACTATTGTTGCAGTTTAAATGGTTTTGGCTTCATAAATAGTTTTATGTTTCAATATAACAGTGAATATAGTGAAGCATTATGGATTATGTATGGGAGATTATTTAAGCCTTTATGAGGACGAATCTAAAAACATGGTTAGTGATTATTTTTTTTACAAAATTTAATAACATTATTACAATTTGATTTTTGTGATATCTTTCTATTAATTTCAAGAAACTTATTTTATAGTAAAAATTGAATGAACAAGCATGTTGGAAGATATGGTTACTATATTCTAGTTCTATTTATCATAATAAAATTTACATATTTCATATCTTAATGGTTATTTTTGTGTGATAATGCAGTATTTGTACACAAAAAAGGCTTCTGCTCAACCAAGACTTGAGCTATTTCCTCGTGAAGATTTGGTTAACCATGGCCAACAATCACCACAAAATAATGATATAGAAATTCTTGCATCAAATGAAGGAATTACAACTTCGTCTCTCTTGGATCAGAACATTGCTATGGATAATGATGGTGATGGTGATGGAGGTCAACATAATGGCTTGAATGCACTTTATGAAAATCTTGAAAATATTTTTGATGTTTATTGGAAGTAATTATTTTCTTACTTAAGTATTGATACTCTTATATGTTATATTACCTAGTTAAATTTGAGCTTGGTCAAATATTATCATTGAAATTGCTCATAACGTATCCCTATTTTGTTTGTGTATTTTTTTTTTTTTCATTTTGTTCATTACTATTAGCAATTGAGACTTTCCCAATAAATTTATTGCATATCTCTTAAAAATGATTTTTTTTCATGCATAAAATGTTATTAGGGCATAAAACAGATATTTAACTAAAAGTCAATGCAAAATTATTTGAATCAGAAAGTTTGTGACAATAACCAAGAAATTATAGTAGGATTGACTTGAACCGTGTTAGTATTTGATTTAAGTCATAAAGTTTTTTATTTCTCAGAAGCTAGCTTTAGGAAAAACTTTGATTAAAATAATGAGCAAAGTTTGAGGATTTGTAATTTGGCACAGGAAACATGATTCTGAGTCACGCTCTTGCTTGGTTCAAATCTTGAAGGATATATTTAGATTATTGCTTGATTGGATTAGAATCAAATATGAAATTTTGGTTTTGGATTTTTTGAAACGTGTTAGAAACATGATTGAGTATGATTCAAATTGAACAATCAAATTCAAAGTTCGTCATTCCTTAATTCAAATCATTCTCTCACTAAATTAACTGTCATATAGTAAATCATTATTGTTTTACATTTTTTAACTTCATTTGAACATTAATTGAATAAGATTAATATGTTTTAAAATCTCTTCAAATTTCTACTGTCAAACTCTGATTTCAAAACAATTTTTTAAGAAGGGAAAGGTTTATTCACCCCATTTCTAGGCCATTTTACACTTATATTCAACCAGCAAGTGACATCAAGAGATGATCTTTTGATTAAATCTTGCGACTTCAAAATTTCTAAAAATAGACAAGGACGATCTAAAGGGTGTTTAAAATAGAGCTTCCATTTTCATTAAAAAGAATTACATTTGTTGGAAGGATTTCATGTACGTGCACCTAATGCCGGTTGATAAATTACTTTGGGTTGCTATCAAGAACAATCAATTTTTCTCTCTAAAAGTATCATATATGACATTTCTATTAAGAAATCTTCCAAAGAATTGAATGATGAAGAAACTAAAGAGGAGTTATAGGATTTGAAAGTGAGGAATATAATAATATCTGCCTTAAGCGAATGTATATTTTTCAATTTCATCTGTTAAACGGCTAAAACAATATGGGATGCACTCCATGAGGAAACAAAAGATGTTAACTAATCTAAAATTAACACTTTAATGAAGGAGTATGAACTCTTATATATGAAACCTAAAGACTCTACAACTTTCACATAGATGAGATTCTCTCAAATAATAAATAAGTTAGACTAATTTTGATTAATGTACAATCAGAATTGTTCTAACGTTCAAAGGTCTATGTACATGCAGTGGTATCCAAATGTAATTTCCATCAAGAAGTTCAATGATCTTAAATCACTTGATTTATCTATTGTTTAAGGTTGCGAAATTTTTTCCAGAGACTTAACATTAAAGGAAAAAAATGAGAAACATTAAAGGAAAAAAATGAGAGAATGTGAAAAACAAAAATTTATAAGCAATGAAGGTCAGTGACAAAGTCTTGAAAGCATCATCTTTTATATGTATTGCACTGTGTTTCGGACCTTGCTTCTTTGTTGGAAAAATCTTAAAAGTATCATCTATTATACGTGATACATTGTGTTTTTTTTCTTGCTTTTTATTTACAATAGTTTTTTTTTTAATTTAATTTTGAACATAATTAATGGGAGGTACTAATATGTTTCTACAGACATGTCAATTAATGTTGAACATCAATACCTCAATTACTCACTAATGATGATTAATATGTTTTTATGTTATTATTGACTATAGATATATACATGACAACAACCATTGTCTTCTAATAAATTTTTGAATTTAGTTTTATCTATACAAATTTGTGAGCAAAAACGCGAATACAAATAAGAGTAAAGAGAAACATACAAAAACTTTGTTCATGCAGTTCGATCAAATTGTCTACGCCTGCGACTATAGAGTAACTATAGTTCCTTTTATTTATATCTTGTGAATTGTATATAGATTACAGTGTTACAAGTCCTATATATAATACAATGTTTTAGTTTATCTAAAACTCTAATTCTTAGTTTCCCTTAACAAACAATTATCTATACCCATAATTATTTCAACAATATAAGATATTCTCTCAACAACCTATATTTATCTCAACAACCCATAATTATTTCAACAATATGAGTTATACTGTCAAAAACTCATAGTTATCTCAGCAACCCATAATTAACTCAACAATGTGAGCCATATTCAACAATATCCACTTGGTGAATATCAAACCCTTATGAAGACTTCTTGCATAACGAATCGTCTTGGAAACAGAGGAGGTACACCTCATGCTTAACACTGAGAAATATGTAATAAGTTCAAACAGTGTTTGAACTTGTCACTAGTGACTGGCTTGGTCAACATATGAACTGCATTCTCTGAAATGTGAACCTTCTGAAGTAATATATGTCCGAACACCATCAACTCCATGATACTGTGGAACCTCACATCAATATGTTTGGTCCTAGCATGATACATCTGACTGTTCTCCAAATAGATAACACTCTGAATATCACAGTGCAATTGAACTCCACCTTTCTCAACACTCAACTTTTTCACTAATGCTATAAGCCACAATGCTTCCTTTGCAACTTCAGATACTGCCACGTATTCTGCCTCAGTTGTAGACATGACTACTATGGATTAAATTGATGATTTCCAACATATAGGTTCCATGCAAGAGTAAAGATGATGATACTTTGTCATTTCATTTTTTCGATCGAAGAAACTGATCAAAACAAGTTAAAGAGAAGCAAAATCTGAGTTGCATTCTCTGAAGTGTGAACCTTCTTAAGTAATATATGTTCGGACGCCAACAAATTCCTGATCTTGTGGAACCTCACATCAATATGTTTGGTCCTAGCATGATACACCTCATTATTCACCAAATAGATAACACTCTGAATATCACAATGCAATTGAACTCTACCTTGCTCAACACCCAACTCTTTCACTAATGCTATAAGCTACAATGCTTCCTTTGCAGCTTCAACTACTGCTTGTATTCTGCCTCACTTGTTGGCACAACTACTATGGATTGAACTGATGATTTCCAACATATAGGTCCCCTGCAAGAGTAAAGATGATGACACTTTGCCATTGCATATTTTGGGTCGAAGAAACGGATCAAAACAAGTCAAAGAGAAGCAAAAAATGAAGAATAAAGACCAAAGAAAGATGCAAAAATAACTAAGTATGAAGAGATAAGGACTTGGTGAAAATATGATGTAAAAAGGAACAAATTTTTTGCATTTACTTGAATAATCATGCGAAACATAGTGCAACATCACACGCGTGATATAAAAGTTTTGTCAGCATCACGTGCACGATAAAAGCTATCTCGTGTGTGATAGGTCATTTTCTGGGCTGATTATAACACATTATAGACTGATTTGGAAGCTATAAAGGGGAGTTTTTTTAGCATCTTATCAAGGCTTCTACGAATTTTGACTGGAAGTGATGATAAAGAGAACCAAGAGGGTGATTTTGAGAGCATTGAAAGCCATTGAAGGCCAGTTCTTCAAGGATTTTTGTGAGGGCAAATCCTCATATACTAGATATTCGGGTTTCGATGATGTCAAAACTCAGTCATATCGAAGAAGAGATGTTTGGCGTTATCACCGCAATGCACAAGCATACCATATTTGTCATGTTTCATTTGCTTGCACAACGCATCTCTAGTACTGCACTTTGTAGTATTAGAATATGCATCATACGAGTTAAAATCTCATTGGTCGTCATAGATATCATCTAAGTATGTCAAAAACATTAAGATTATGCAATTTCTAAAAATACAGGTGTTTGAGTCGACCACACCTTGCTCCGGTCGACTCATAACAAGTGTCTAAATTTTGCAAAACTCTCGGCATAGGTATGGTCGACCTACCGGTTGATGCATACTGTTGTCATATCTGTTTGTCAAAAAATTCAGGCTTTGCATCGACGCATAGCCTTGTTCCGGTTGACGTATAGCAGGTTATTTTGCATAGTCTGTTTTGCTTGGGGTAGCTCAGGTCGACCCTTCCCTCTGTATGGGTCGACCGTTCGCTGTTTGCTGCATAATTTTGGTCTGTCTATCATTTTTGAAAAGTGGTTTTTTAGTTATTTTTGGTCTGATATAAATAGAAAGTTGCTCATTTCATTTCATATCAATTGAATCAATTAGAAAACAAGAAAAGTGAAAGAGGTGCCAATTTAAGCTCTCATCATCTCCATCTTCTACATTTCATACAACAACAATCACACACAATAATCTTTGCTGTGCATTATGGATTATTTGAAGTGATAACGTCCGAAGCCGTTGATTGGGAATCCGGTTCGGGTTGAGATTTTGGCAAGTTTTTCTTGAATAAAACCTTTAGGGTTTTGTCCTCCAAGATTCTCTGAATTTGGGGTTTTTTGGTACGAATCTTCTCAACATATATTCAACTGAGCGAAGGTGATCAAGAAGCGGTGGGTTCCATTGATCTAGTAGCGGTAATCGTGAATTATGATGGAGAAGTCCGAGTTCAATTAGCGAGTGTTTAAGATCAGCTGGGCTGGGGTTTGAAGACATAAGATTGTTCAAACAAAGAGCTGTAATCGGAGGTTCATCCACAAGCTATTGAAGGAATTGATTCGACTCGAATCAAGGGACAAGAAGAGAAAGCATCTTCAACAACAAGGGAGTTTATTTGTGCATTTGCTATTCTATTCTTGTATAAACGATTCTATAACAGGTTACATTTATATTATACGAGCTCAATTCTATTGTTAAAATTGAGGGCAGACGTACCCCGAAGCGAGGACGATGAGGGAACTGCCTCAACAAATCCTTGTGCCTTTTACATTACGCTTTTACATTTGCTTAATAATTCCGAGATTTTCGTACAAACAATTATATCGAAGTTAGGACTGTTTTGAGTAAGTGCTGAATTAATTTGGACTCTAGTACAATAGTTTATTGTACAAGGAAACTAGAGCTACTTACTCAAAGCCGAATTCACTTGGAGTGCTCCGTACACCAAGTGTTTGATAAATTATCTGAACCAAAATTCTCGTGTGTTGTCCACTTATTTTTTTGGCATTTTAAGACATTGGAACTAGTCATACCAAGTAGTGATCTAAATCAAATTAGTAGTGTGACTAGCGTGGTGATTCTCATTTCTCATTATCAATTTCCATAGGCTAGACGCGTATCCGGTTTTCTAGTAACGATTCATTATAGACGGTAATTTTTCCACGTCCGCTTCCGCAAATTAAACAAACTTTTTTAAAACCATTTTATTGGTAGCGCCGACTCATTTTTTAAATAAGGGATATATTCAACCCCCCTTCTAGATCCGTGCCATCGTCTAACAAGTGGTATCAGGAGCACCGGTTCACTTCGTGCTTCAAGTATAACTTTGTAGAAAATGGCTAACGAACCTAAAGGGGCCTATAATAGGGCTCTTGTTTTTAATGGAGAAAATTACAGTTACTGGAAAAACTGTATGCGGGTGCACATTAATTCCATTGATAGGAAAGTGTGGAATGTTATTCTTAACGGTCCAATGAAAATAACCATGACCGATGAGAATAACATGGTTGTGCCTAAGCCTGAAGCACAATGGACTGATGATGATGAGAAGAAATATAATTACGATTGGAAAGCCAAAAATATTTTGATCTCCTCATTAGGAGTTGATGAATATTATAGGGGTTCTCATTGTTTAACGACAAAAGCTATGTGGGACTCATTGCAAGTTGCCCATGAGGGAACCAATGATATTAAGCTAGCGAGAATCAATACGCTAACATAAGAGTTTGATCTCTTTTACATGGAGCAAGGGGAAACCATTGCGGACATGCAAAAGAGATTCACTCATCTTATCAATAGATTTCACTCACTAGGTAGGCTGGTTGCCAATGATGTTGCTACTAACAAAATTTTGAGATGTCTTAACAGGGAATGGCAACCGAAGGTAACCGCCATCAAAGAAGCTAACGACCTCACAATTTTGGATCTCACAACATTGTTTGGAAAGCTGCAAGAGCACGAACAAGTGCTTCTAAGCCTAGAGCAACATGAAAAGAAGGAAAAGAAAGATAAAACAAAAAATAATGAAAAGAAGTCTATTGCTCTAAAGACTTCTTCTTCAAAGTCTCAATCTAAGGAGCATAATGATTATACTTCGAGTGACGACGAAGAGGATGACAAGAGTGAGGACATGGGGCTGTTTGTAAAACGTTACAACCGATATGTCAAAAAGAAAGGTATCCAACACTCCAAGAAAAATCTTGTCAACTTCCGGAAACAATCAAGGTAATCTAGAAATGATGACACTAAGAGAAACAAGACAAGAGGGTCATGTTATACTTGCGGAAAGACCAGACACTACAAGCCGGATTGTCCCTTGAACAAAAAGGGAAAAGAGAAGGAAATAAGTAGATCACAAAAGAAGCAATCTAAGTCAAGGAGAGCATACATAGCTTGGGAAAGCGATAATGATTCCTCCGAGGATGAAAGTTCAAGTGATGAAGATGAATCCGTAAATCTTTGTCTTTCCGCCCATCAAAAGAACAAAAAGAAACAGGTACGATATGCCAAGTATGAAAAATCCTCTAAAATGTCTCACTTTGAATTACAAACTGCTTTTAATACTTTGCATTGTGAAGCAAAAGAAGCCTTTAAAAGGCTTGCCTCAAATAACCAAAATTTTGCTCACCTAGAGCAAAAGATTCGTGAGTCCGAAAAGAAACTTGAGGCACTAAAAGCTTCCATAGTGGAAAGTACAAAAGCAGGTTGTGAGGACCTGAGAAGTAGAGTTGTTAACTTTGGGTGTGATACTTGTTACATTTGGCAAAATGAAGTTAGAAACCTAAATGACAAACTTAACAAGGCTCTAGAGCCCAAAATTACTTTTGCCATCGATAAATCTAATTTTATAAAGAGTATGGTTAATCCATATCAAAAATACACGTATGTTGTAAGAGATCATGATAGCAAAAGTAATTCAAAAGTTAACTTTTCTTGTTTATATTGTTGCAAGAATGGCCACACCATTTCCAAATTCCGTTTTAGGAGATTTTTGATTCCTAAAGGCATTTATCAATGGTTTCCTAAATGCGAGCATTTTGTCACTCACAACTTAGGACCCAATAAGTCATTGGGTACCTACTATTTTTAATTGTTTTTTCATAGGTACAACGTCTTGAGAACACTGAGAGAAGATGGGTTCTCGATAGTGGCTGCTCAAGACACATGACAGGAGACATATCTCTCTTCATCGACTTCGTGACAAAGAAGAAGGGGTATGTAACCTATGGAGACAACAATCGTGGTGCAATACTTGGAAAAGGTAGTGTAAGTAATCGTTCTTCCACTACTATATCTGATGTATTGCTTGTCGAGGGCCTTAAACATAATCTCATTAACATTAGCCAATTATGCGATAAAGGATACAATGCATATTTTTCAAAAGATCGTTGCAAAATTGTGCATAATGATGAAATGAAGAATGTGTTTAATGGTCTAAGAGTAAACAATATCTATATGTTGGACTTGAGTGAAGTATCTTTGACAAGTGACAAATGTCTCAAGACAATGAGTGAAGACTCATGGTTATGGCATAGACGTTTAGCACATGTCAACTTTGACTTGCTTAACAAAGTAGTCTCAAAAGATCTAGTCATAGGTCTGCCCAAAATTAAGTTTACCAAGGATCACCTTTGTGATGCTTGCCAAATGGGAAAGCAAACGAGAATCTCTTTTAAATCTAAAAATATTGTTTCAACTACGAGACCTCTCGAGCTTCTCCATATGGATTTATTCGGACCATCTAGAATTAAAAGCCTAGGTGGTAACTATTACGATTTTGTAATAGTTGATGACTTTTCTAGATTTTGTTGGACCATCTTCTAGATTTTTGTTAACATAGACTTTACAATTAATTCTCTTACACTTTTTTATTCATATCTTTGGCTATTAAGAATGATTATGAAACTCTAGTGGCATCTCTTGTGCCCTCATTTATATTACATACCCTTTTTGCCTTTAAAAAAAAGAATGATTATGTAATAAATATGTTTGATTTGTCTTTTTTTTTTTTTATGTTCTCGTTCTTATGAGTGAGTTTTTGCTTAATTTTTCACCTTTTGTACATCTTATTTTCAATACATTGTTGTTTTATATAAAAATATCACAAATATATATTTTGATGTATAGTATATTCAAATAATCATTGTGGTGCGATTTGAGCGATTTTGACGCTAAAAATCATCTGAACCGTAAGAGAAAAAAACATGTGGTTTGGTTTGGTTCGGTTGATTTTAAGAAATAAAACTAAACCAATGCGATTTGGGTTGATTTGGTTGGTTCGATTTTTTACATGATTTTTATTGAACCACACATATACCTATAGAGAACAACATAACTTTTTATTTAGTCATTCGTACATTATCAAATAGCAATAAGATTCATCATATTTAGACAAAAACTTCTCATTCAATATACAAAAATAAGATTAGACAAAAGTGGAATAAAAAACATAAAATAATAGCATAAAAGAATATAAAAATATTATAATAAAAAGAAAAAACGGAGGAGAGGAGAGATTAGAGAAGATGAAAAAGAAAGAATATAAGATATGTGATATTAGAGAAGAAATGTGCGATAAAAAAATAATTAGAAGAGAAAACAATAACATAAAAATGAAAAGATGAAAAAGAAAGAATAAAAGATATGAGAGATTAAAGTAAAAGATGTGAGACATCTATGCAATATATAAAGGACATACTTTGTTTTGGTGTGACCTATTTTTCTATCATTTTTATCCTTATATTATTGTGTATTTACTTAATAACTTCATATTATTAACTTCCATATAACTTATTATTATTAACTTCCACATAACTTCTTATTATTAACTTCCACGTAACTTCTTATTATTAACTTCCACATATTGTATCTTTTTAAAAAAAAAAATTATTTTAACAAAAAATATCATTTATCTTTTTATTTGCATTAAAAAAGCGGACAAACGGGCACGCGAGTGCCCGTCTGGTGCACGATATTACCGGAAGAGATTTGGTAAGGTTGAAACTAAAACTCTAATAGTGAGTAAGAGAATATTTGTTAGGTTAATGCATAATAAGTTTGAGTTTTAAATTGGATTTAGAATAAGTGAAATTTGAGTTGTAACATAATACGATTTGATTTGCTTTAGTTCGGTTTGCAAAATACAAACCGCAGACCGAATCGAACCGTGCTGTTTTGTTAAAAAATAGCTCAAACATATTTGAATCAAATGCAATTTTTGCGATTTCAAATTTGATTTAATTTAATTTGTGATTTTCTATTGAATTTGTTGGATTGAACATCCCTAATCACTAAATTCATAAATAAAACAAATCAACGTTTATTCAACCATCAATTCACTCTTCTACTAATACATTAAAAAAAATCCAAGTGTTCTTATTTTATTTTAAATTTTTTTGAAGAGTTGGTAGGTGCAAATACAATAAATTTTAAATCCTTAAATTTGGTTATAAAAAAAAGAAAAGAAAAAGAATATTATAAACATAAATAACGAAGATTATACTAAAATGAGTATAGCAGAACCTATCTAAAACCAAAAACCTTATCTCTGGTTAGTTTTTACATCCTTTTATCTTTTCATTTCATGTCAGAGTGAGGCATCGTCTTCATCTCTTCTTCAATTCAATGGCTTCTGCACATTCTTCAGCTCTCAGTTCTCTCTCTTCTCTCTCTTTCCGTTCCTCTTCTTCTTCCTCTTGTTTCTCTCTCCTCCCCACGTCCCACAAACTCACATTCCCTCTCCTCACCAAAACCCCAATCTCCATCTCCACAACCCCAACCACCACTCTCTCCTTCACCGCCAAAGCCACCCCCATCGACGACAACGAATCCATCTCCGAAGAAGGCCTTCCTTTCAACCCACCCGAAGGCCAGGAAGGCTTCATCGCCTCACCTTTCATAATCGACGGACCAGTAGAAGACGAAGACGAAGTCACCGCCGCGTATGAAAAGCTTTACGGCGTGGGGTACAGTGGAGTGAGTGTTCTCGGAAATGATATATACGCGATGGATGCGAACATTAAGAAGCAGACTGGGTTTGGTTCTGGAAAGAAGAAGAGAGAGAGGTTTAGAGATGGATTGGAAGAAAGAATTGTTCAAGTAAGAAGGATTACTAAGGTTGTTAAAGGAGGGAAACAGATGAAGTTTAGGGCTGTTGTTGTTGTTGGTGATAAGAAAGGACAAGTTGGTGTTGGTGTTGGAAAGGCTAAGGAAGTTGTTTCTGCTGTTCAGAAATCTGTTATTAATGCTAGGAGGAATCTTATGAAAATCCCCATGACTAAGTACTCCACATTTCCTCATAGGTAACCATTTCTTCAATCTCAATTTTGTTTTCTGTATATCAGTTTTCATCATATAGATATCGAGATTAATGATTTGGATATAAGCATAGTCCTGGGTAGAAGTATGGTTTTGGATAGAACATTATGACAAAAGTTGATTCATGTAGCTGATCCCACTTAATGGGACAAAACTTGGTTGTTGTTGCTGTTGTATAGGTGTTGCTTAAAATGTGATTAATTTAGAGAATTATAATGTCAATTGAAATGGGAAACTTATTGAATCTTATGGATAAAAATTTTGGTTTTCGGTTTGATTTTCTTGTAGAGATTAGTAGTTTGGAAAGTTGGGGAGTATTTTGCGCGTATGGCATGATAATCAAAAGGAAAGGAAAATTTTATTGTGAAGGAGAAATCTTTGACGAGAATTCTTTCTCCGATTCACAGTGGATCAGTAAAATTGTTCTTTACTGTTGCTTGTTTCTTTCACGTATTCATTTTTTTTACAGGTTATTTACATTCTTCCTGGACTTTGGGTGTGACCTTGAATTATATTATTCATGATTCACCTTGTATTGGAGCTTGATTTTGATATCTGTATATAGGAATTATTGGGTAGTTCATGTCGAATTTAGGAAATCAATTCTTGAGGCTAGGCTTGAGGCTTGATCTAAATTATCATGATTACTTTTTGTACTTGAACATTAAGGTGCAACAAACAAAGAGCTAATTCTTCCTTAACATGATCGAAGCCAAACCTGTGTGATTAGGTTCTCTGTCTCACAGTGTTGTCAAATTCCTGGCATCACGGCATGGCATGGTGGGTATTGTGCTAGGCGCCGCCATTGGGCAGCAGCACCTATTGTATCCCCATGTTTCTTCTATATGCTGCAATGCCTTATTTATATGATATATTTTTGGCGGTCCGCCATATAAATAGGTGTTGTTGTGGCCTGTAGTCGAAGCTACTTTATGGATGATTATGATGCTGTCTGTAATGATATGTTTGACATGTCCTTCCTATCAACTTTGTAAAATATTGAAACGAATATGAAATCGTTTGAAGTCTGGACATGCAATTGCTACTAGCATAGTAAGATTTTGCAGTCCTTCACTTCAGTATTTTACAGTCATATCAATAACTTCAATTGAATCCCTTGTGTTCTAAGATGCTAGCATTGTAGCATATTAATTAGATATGAATTTTGAGTTGCAAATTCGAATTGCTCTCATTTTAGATAGCTTCTAAATTTTTTGTATAATGGTATTCCAGAGCAGACGGAGATTATGGAGCAGCAAAGGTGATGCTTAGACCCGCTTCTCCTGGTACCGGAGTTATTGCAGGTGGAGCTGTGAGAATTGTTCTTGAAATGGCAGGCGTTGAGAATGCTTTGGGGAAACAACTAGGAAGTGACAACGCACTCAACAATGCAAGAGCAACTTTAGTTGCAGTGCAGAAAATGAAGATGTACAGTCAGGTCGCCGAAGAGCGCGGGATCTCTAAGGAAGAGTTATATTACTAAGTGGGATCCCTATGGAAGAGTTATGGAAGTAAATGAGATTTGTGAAACCAATGTAATTTTCATTCGTCAATTGTTGTCATGTAGAACTGGTGTTAGTACACCTCAGAAATTGTTCCAAGTTTTTATTTGAAAGTTACTTGGAACTAAACAACTTCAAATGCTGTTTGTTCAATCTGAATTACATTATTCATTTGCTTGTTTTATCTGTCTCTTGATTCTCCAATTTATGTTAAAGCTTTAACAAAACATAGGTCATGTTCCTTCAATCAACATCAATACAAAAACATGAAAATTTACATCAAGAAACCAAGACTAGAAGTTTCGAACATTACATATATACAGTAGATGGTGGCCTCAGTCTGCCGCAAAATATAACAATTCTTTCCCTATATGACAAGCCACGAGAAAAAAATCGCCATTGCACAAAGATTATCTAACAGTTTCCTAAAAACTTAAGCAGGGAATAAAATTTACACCAGGAACAAAGACATTAACCGAAACTTCATTTCCATATTTTCACAGTACGATCACTGCTACATGATGCGATGAATTGATTTTGCGCACACGCTGCTAGTCCAGTAACTGTGGCCTTAGTATGGGCAGGAATAAGATATACTTGCTCAGTCTCAGGAATCCACAATTCAATGTCCTGCAGTTTATGAAACCCAAAAGTTTTTCATATTCAAAGGAATAAAAACATATGAAAACAAAAAATTACAGTCAATAAAACAGCACAGCATGACAGTTTAATTACCTGAAATACACCAATAACTAGTACATTAGGGTATCTAGGATGAAATATGATCGATTGAAACCTCTTCCCATTGGCCTTATACTCATGAAGGTATTGTCCACGCACCGCAATTGACCAGATACGTGCACAATCTTCAGTAACAGACGCAATCCTTTGCCCCTGTGCGTCCCAACATATCGAACGGATTTCTTTGCTGTGTCCCTTATAGAGATCATTAATATTTAGTCAGCCATACATGCCATGATACACAGTTACTCACAACTCACATTTAAATCATCTATTTATAAGTGAACCTCACTTGAAAACGGTTTTGAACCTTCCAAGTCTGAATATCAAGTATGGTGATGGCATTTCCATTAGCAACTGCCAGAAACTTCCCAAATACAGGTTGAAATCGTATTTTCTGCCCACCCGCCTGAAATTCATTCATCGTTAAGTCATTATCAGTGAACTTTTTCATGAAGCAGTTTCGAATCAGCTAACTAATCTTCATATGATTGAGACTTACTCACCATAAAGTTTTTCAGCTGAATACACTTAACGAGATCCCATACTTCGATTACATCAAAGCTATCAGACGAGCAAAGAAGTGCTTCATTGGGATGAAAATCCAATGACTTCACCACACCCTTATGTCCAACAAGATCAAACAACTTGGTTCTGGGCTATATAACAGAATGAATGCTCATGTTACAAAATTAGAGGAAGCAAACAAACACGAACCGAAAAGAAAGAAACTCACTTTATTTGAATCCCATAATTTTACTGTTTTATCAGGAGAAGAAGTTGCAAATATAGTTGTTCTTGGTTGAAATCTAACTTCTGAGATGGGACCTAAATGTGAGTCTGATGTATTAATACATTCACAAGTATCCATGTAGCAAATGAAAGCCTGTGCTGAATTAAAAACCATAATAAGCATTCACAAACACAAATAGAATTGAAAATTTGATGAAATTGATAATTCACCTTCTTCCCAAGCCCGCCACTTGCCAAAACCTTTCCGTCTGACGAAAAGTCGCACGAAGAAAGCGTGTTGACGCCCTTAAAATCTTGCATTAGAAATTATAATAAACATATTCAGTTTCATCAATATAATTTCCAACTCTTCTCAAATACAAGATCGAGTATGTAGAGATTATAATTTTACTTCCAATGAGTTGCATAGAATATCCATCTCGACATATTTGTGAGGTACTAGTGTCCCTTTTCGAACCGACATTTTCTACCTGAATTTTGGTTAGTTACACTATGATGAATCAGAATCAAAATCAATGAGCATTTTGTTGAGGCATAATCACCTACCTTATCTGGTGGTGGTGGCATTTTTAAACTAGGGTTATACGAGTCATGGAGTAAGCTCCAAAATTTATGCAAGAAACCATGTGGATTTTGATTAATTTCTGAAAACAAAGTTAAATTCAGCCACAGAATTGAAACAAAACAAGAAAGAAAGAAAGATATACAGAAATGAGTATTATATATATACCAATGGGAGGTTTTGAAGAAACTTGGCCTTCCATTCGGAAAATTTCAGCAGTGTAATGCAATCCTCGTTTCTTGAAGTAATCATACATATACATTCGGAAACTACACAAATTTAAGAACAGTTTAAGAAGAAAAATATGAAAGAATAATATGTAGAAATATTGTACTTACGTATCTTCATTAGAGCGTATTGGGTTCATGAAGGATAGAGAGCATGCAGTGTCATGCAAAAGAAGAATTGAGAAATGTTTAGTTCTTTTATTGTTTGTGATCGATCAACTAGGTTTAGGGCGTGTTAACTGTGACTTTGATTATTGACTAACTAATTAGAGCATCCACACTCATTATCTCCACGATTCTTTAGATGGGGTCCACATAATTTTTTATATTATATTTCACTTTAATATTTTCTAAACAACGCAGTTATGTTTTTTAAATATCCATACAACCCATCAAAAACTCTAAAATGGGTCCCACCAAATACCTTACATTTAATTATATATAATTTTTAATTCAACTTTAATAGTTAAGAAGTAATGAGAAACGTTCTCTTGCAGAACAACGTTGGTAAATTAAAGGACACTTGAAATTTTTAAACATCCATCAATTTCTCACAAAAAGACTTTGGTTTTCGTGAAGGAACGATGACATGACATTGATATTTATGCTCTTACTACACTCTTCCAGTGTTATTTCATATTATTCTGCCACATAGCACTATATTTAAGCAGCTAATTTTCTCCACGTGTCATCTTTTTATTTATTTTTCTTTTCATTTTTTAAAATTCAAATTAATTATCATTTAAGTCTAAATTAATATATCAATTTGAGTGTAAATTAGTTACACCATCTTTTAACCATGGTAACAGTTTGGCGGTTTTACTTAGGTACTTTTGACTTTTAATTTTTAAAAGAGATAAAAGTGGTGAGATGATTTTTAAACACGATATTCATAAAGCTTATGATGTATTCTTTCAATTTTTCAATGATAGATTCAGTTGACCATTTTATACGTATTAAAAAAAGTAAAAAAAATAAAAGAGAGAATGATCTTTTAACCAAAATATCTATTATCTAACGGTGAGAAAAATACACAAGAAGGAGATTGAATTATGTATGTCTAAAAATCCGTTCACTTCTGATTATGAAACTTCATAATCTAAACCACGTTTAGAGTCTGATATCATAACAAGTAACAGTAGCAGAAATAAAGTGATCAGAAGTAAAAACAAACAACACACAAAGATTATCCTGATTCCTCTCCTCAATTGAGAGTAATCCAGCCCCTTGTCTCAACAAGAGTTTTTCACTATAACTAAAATGATTACAATTTGTTCAACCACACTTGCAAGAGACTTCAATGCTCAATCAACTTAGAAAAAGACTTCACTACTCAAATACACAGACAAGAGACTTCAATACTCAAGCACGCATGTAAGAGATTTTTTCTACTTTAAACAAATAGTTTAGTAGAAAAGGTAACTATTATACTTTGGTACACAATCAAAAGTATAACAATTGTGCAATAATAAAAAAGGTTCTTAACCTCTTAAGATTTCTAAGATATACTAAGATAAGAAATCTTAAGATTTTATGTAATAACAGTTACAAAAATTAACAACTCAGAGTTATGCCAAAGATCTTATAATGTGTTGTGATGTTGTAACCTTCCTTCAAGTCTTCAGTTTTCTTTTATAGAGGTAGAGAAAGAGTCGTTGGAGGGTTTGAACATAATAGAAAACTTAGTGAAGAAGTATGCCAAGAGAGACGCTGGAGAATAACATCTGGTTAGAAGTATTGTCAAATGAATAATGACATTGTTCACAACACCTTTCGAAGTACTAAATATCTACCAAAAGGTAGAACAAACTAAAGAGGTCTGTCATACCCCAAATTTTACTCTTAGATTCTTTGATCTTTTGCATATTATTCTAGGTCAATCATTTTTGCATAACTAACCAATCATCAACTTTTGTTTTGTTTTATTTCACTTGTGAATTAGGGTTTGACTCCAGATTCTTCAAAGTTAGGAGTTAGGGTTTTGGATAGAAGGTTTTTTGCTGAGGTGGATTTCCACTGTTCAGAGGTCGTCTCTTTCGGTTATTTGTACTCAAGTTTGAGGCGGAGGTGTTGGGTGTTCAATTGTCATGAGAAGTTCTTATCAGAAGTTTATCAAGACACGACCTCAATTTCTCAGAATCGCCACAAAGGTGTTGTTGTTTAAGGTTTCATCTGTGGATTGGCTGGAAAGAATATGGATTAGGATTCTGGAAGATTAGGGTTTCTCATCCTTGGTGTTCATGATCAATAAGTGTCGTTCAGTTGAGTCTCTTGAGGCTAGCAGGTTCAATGTGTGTGCAAGTAATGATTGGGTGGTTAAGAGTTTTCGCTATTGGCATGAGGATTCGTCAGGCTGTTGTCCAATCAAAATCATTTTAAGTTGGATTCGAGTTTGTGTTGTTGTTCAGGATTTATGATGGTCAAATGCATTTGTGGAGTTTTTAAGTGTTGTGGAGGTGTATTACCTTTATCAATTCCTGTAACCAGTTTCTAATCTGATTTCTTATCCAATCTCTTTTCCTATCCTCAAACATCCATATCATGCCTAATTCATTTCAGTTGTCCTTATCCATTTTAAATCCACTTCTCAAACTTTTCTTTTATCCACATTTTATGTTCACTTTTTCTAAACAAAACTATTACCCATTTTAAATCCATATTTAAATACATATCCGTTTTGAAAACCAATTATCCGTTT